CTTGTGATCCGCCCGCCTCGGCCTCCCAAAGTGCTGGGATTACAGGCTTGAGCCACCACGCCCAGCCGAGATCTGATTATTTTATAAGGGTTTTTTTTCCCTCTTTGCTAGGCACTGCTCTTCCCGCCATCATGTGAAGAAGGACGTGTTTGCTTCCCCTTCCACCAATGCTTGTAAGTTTCCTGAGGGCTCCCCAGTCAAGCAAAAGTGTGAGTCAATTAAACCTCTTTCCTTTATAAATTACCCAGTCTCAGGCAGTTCTTTATAGCAGCATGAGAATGGACTAATACACTAGGCAACATGGCAAAACCACATCTCTACAAAAAAATATAAAAAGTAGCCAGGCATTGTGGTACATGCCTGTGGTCCCAGGTACTCAGGAAGTGAGAGGATCAACTGAGCCAGGGAAGTTGAGGCTGCAATGAGCCATGATTGTGCCATTGCACTCCAAATGGGACGATGGGATGACAGAGCAAGACCCTGTCTCACAAAAAATAAAAATCAAAAAATCAAACGACAGACAGTAATGAGTATTGATATGGCTGTGGAGAAACTGAAACCTTCATTCATTGCTGCTGAGATTATAAAATGGTGTAGACACTTTAGAAACAGTTTGAAAGTTCTTCAAAATATTAAAGATATTTAATTAAATATTAAAGAATCTCTAGACAGGCTAACTGTTGAAGGGCATTCTCAGACAAAGCCAGTCTGCAAAGACTGAAATAAGCGCCTACTTCTTCTAATGCACAGACATAAACACAGGGCCACAACCATCGGCAACAATCAGGAACAAATGACATCACTTAAGAAACAAAATAAAGTACCAGTGACCATCCCTAAAGAAACAGAGATGTATGAACTTACAAAGAATTCAAAATAACTGTTTTAAGAAAGCTCAGCAAACTTCAAGAAAACACAAAGAAACAATGCAATGAAATTAGGAAAATAATCAGTGACCACAATTAGAAAGGTAATAAAGAGATTGAAATAATAAAAGAGAAACACCAAACAGAAATCATGGGGCTGAAAAATACAATGAACAAAATTAAAATGCAATATGGGAGCATCAACTGCAGAAGTAGTCAAGAAGAAGAAAGAAACTATGAACTCAAAGACAGGTTATTTGAAAATACACAGAGGAGAAAAAAGAATGAAAATGAATGAAGAACGCTTACAAGATTTATGGAACAGCATCAAAAGAGCAAAGTTTTGAGTCACAGGAGTTAAAGAAGGAGAAAAGGAAGATAAAGGGGGTAAAAAGCTTAATTAAAGAAACAGTAACAGAAAATTTTCCAAACCTGAAGAAAGATGTAAATCTCTACATACAGAAAAAGTCAAGGGTCTCTAATCAGATTCAGTCCAAACAAGACTACCTCAAGACATATTACAATCAAACTATCAAAAATTAAAAACGAGAGGATCCTGAAAACAGCAAGAGATAAGAGGCAAATAACATATAAGAGAGTCCCAATATGGTTGGCAACAGACTTGTCAGCAGAGACCTACCAAGTCAGGAGAGAAAGGGATGATATATTCAAAGTGTTCAAGGAGAAAAATACCAACCAAAAGTAATGTACCCAGCAAAGTGTCCTTCAGAAATGAAGGAGAGATACTTTCCCAGACAAACAATAGCTGAGGGAGTTAATCATGACCACACCTATTTTATAAGAAATGTAAAAGGAGTTCCTCAAGCTGAAAGAAAAATATGCTAATGAGTAACACGAAAACATCTGAAAGTATAAAACTGACTGCTAAAAGAAAGTACACAGGTAAATTAAAAATACTCTAATACTGTAATGATGGTATGCAAATCACTTATATCTGTAGTAGGAAAGATAAAAGAGAAAACTATTAAAAGTAATAATAGCTAAAATAATTTGTTAAGGGATACACAATATGAAAAAATGTGAACTGTGACATCAAAAATTCAAAATGTCAAGGGATTAAGTAAAAGTGTAGATTTTGTTTGTTCGTTAGTTTTGGAGGGTTTTTACAATAAAAATGAAGTTGTCAAGTTAAAATAAACTATTATAACTCTTAAGATGTTTTTCGGTAACCACAAATCAAAAACCAATAGGAGACACACAAAAACTAAAAAGCAAGAAATCAAAACATACCACTAGAGAAAATCACTTCACCCAAAAAAAAAGACAGCAAGAGAGGAAGAAAAGAATAAAGGATCTACAAAAGAACCATGAAACAATAAGCAAAATGGCAGTACAAAGTCCTTACTTATCAATAATTACCTTGAACATGAATGGATTAAATTAGCCAATCAAAAAACATAGTGTCTGAGTGGATAAATAAAACTAGATCCAACTATATGCTGCCCATGACAGACTCATTTCATCTGTAAATACACACACAGACTGATGGTGAAGGAATGGAAAAAGATATTCCATGGAAACAGAAACTAAAAGAGAGCAGGAGTATACTTATATCATATTAAACAAACTTTAAGTCAGAAAGTGTAAAGGAGAAACAAAGATCCTATATAATGATACAAGGCTCAATTCAATAAGAGGATATAACAATAAGTTATATGAAGGCACTTTTACTCCAGTTCTCCCATTTTGAATTTTCAATGTCACAATTTATATATTTTACATTGCATATCCCTTAATAAATTACGTAGCTATTGTTTTTTATAAATATATATGAACCCAAAATCAGTACACCTAAAGATAAATACCAAACATTGGCCAGGCGCGGTGGCTCATGTCTGTAATCCCAGCACTTTGGGAGGCCAAGGCGGGTGGATCATGAAGTCAAGAGATCAAGACCATCCTGGCCAACATGGTGAAACCCTGTTTTTACTAAAAATACAAAAATTAGCTGGGAGTGGTGGCAGGTGCCTGTAGCCCCAGCTACTCAGGAGGCTGAGGCAGGAGAATCACTTGAACTGGGAGGCGGAGGCTGCAGTGAGCCGAGACCCCGCCACTGCACTCCAGCCTGGCAACAGAGGAGACTCCGTCTCAAAAACAACAACAACAACAATAAAGATAGACTGCAATACAGCAATACTAGGGGACTTCAACACACTACCTTCAGCAATGGACAAATCATCTCAACAGAAAATCAGTAAGAAACATCAGATTTAAACTATACTCTAGAACAAATGGACAGATCAGACATAAAACATTTCAACTAATGGCAAGAGAATATACATTCTTCTCAACTGCATATGGAACATGCACCAGGGCGCACCAGGAGATATCACATGTTAGGCCACTAAACAAGTCTTAACAAATTTAAGCAGAAGGAAATCATATCAAGTTTCTTTTCTGACCACAATAATAAAAAATTAGAAATCAGTAACAGAGGTGCTTCAGCAAATTCACAAATACATGGAAATTGAACAACATGCTCCTGAATGATCAGTGGGTCAATGAAGAAACTGAAAGCAAAATTCAAAAATTTCCTGAGATGAAAAAAAATGGAAACACAGCCTACCAGAACCCATGGAACACAGCAAAAGCAGTTTTAAGAGCAAAGTTTATGGCAGTAAATGCCTACATAAAAACAAAAAACCTCAAATAAACAACCAAAAAACCCCAATAGACATCTTTCAAAGACATACAAATGTCCAAAATGTACAAGAAAAAAAAAAGCTCAATATCACTAATTACCATAAAAATGCAAATAAAAACCACAATGAGATGTCACCTCATACTACACTTAGAATGACGATTACCAAAGAGACAAAAGATAACAAGTGTTGGCAAATATGTAGAGAAAAGGGAATTTTTGCACCCTGTTGGTGAGGAGGTAAATTAATACAGCCATTATGAAAAGCAGTATGGAATTCCTTTAAAAGTTAAATACAGAACTACCATATGATCCTACAATCCCACCACTGTATGTATGTGTGTGTGTATACATATATATACATATATAAAATGAAATCAATATATCAAAGAGCCATGTGCATTCCCATGTTCATTATAGCACTATTCATAATAGCCAAGATATGGAATCAACCTAAGTGTCCACCAACGCATGAATAGAGAAAATGTGCTACACATACACAAGAGAAAACTGTTCAGCTATAAAAAAAGAAGGAAATCCTGTTATTTGTAACAACATGAATGAAATAAGCCAGGTAAAGACAAATACTGCATGATCTCACTCATGTGGAATCAGAAAAAGTTAATCTCATAGAAGCAGAGAGCAGAATACTTTGGGAGTGGGGTATGGTTTGTGTTAAAGGACCCACAATTTCAGCTTGACACGAGGAATAAGCTCAAGAGCTCCACTGTACAACATGAAGACTATAATTAATAATAATATATTATATTCTTGAAAAATACTAAGAGAATGGATGTAAAGTGTTCTCACCACAGAAATCATTAAATATGAGATGTATCATGTTAATTAGCTAGACTTAGTCACTCCACAATGTATATATACTTCAAAACATCATGTTGTACATGATAAACACATATAATTGCCAATTTAAAAATGAATAAATGTTTTAAATCACTTAATTGTATACTTTAGACAAGTGAATTTATGGTATGTGAATTACAACTCAGTAAAGCTGCCGGCTGGGCGCAGTGGCTCACTCCTGTAATCCCAGCACTTTGGGAGTCCAAGGCAGGTGGATCACCTGATGTCAGGAGTTCAAGATGAGCCTGGCCAATATGGTGAAACCGTCTCTACTAAAAATAAAAAAAAAATAGCCAGGCGTGGTGGCACGTGCCTGTAGTCCCAACCACTCGGGAGGCTGAGGCAGGAAAATTACTTGAACCTGGGAGGTGGAGGTTGCAGTGAGCTGAGATCACACCATTGCACTCCAGCTGGGCAACAGAGTGAGACTCCATCTCAAAAAAAAAAAAAAAAAAAAAAAAGTTACATAAATCGGAGGAAAAAAGACAAAGAGATCTTGGACATACATAATGAAGACTAGGGAGGTGTTTTAAAGCCACACTTACAAACACAGAGTTCTAATGCAGGATATTAAAGTGAAAGTCAATTGTTGACCAACATGAAGAGCTTACCTTTGAAGAATCAACTCTGCTTGTTGTTCAGAAATAGTCAGACCCAGTGTCTGGAGAGACTGGACAATTTCTGAAGCCTCAATTTTTCCTTTAAAAAAATAAAAAGGGCAAAAATAAAACTCGGAGCTGACAAGAGCCACAGAAATCATGAATTTCAAATCTCTCATTTAAGAGAAAGCTTTAAACTGATTAAGGCAAAATTATGCATGTAGATGAGTTATAGATTTGCTTAAATGTCTATCCCAACATCAATACTAAAAATGTAACAAATACATTAAACAAATAAACACACGTTTTTTAAAAATTCAGTAATTATAACAGCCTTATAGATAAATAATATTCCCCCAAAGAGACCAACTTCTCAAGTGGCCTTACCAAGTGATGTAATTAAGAAGTAGCAGAACTAAGATCCAAATCAAGATATTCTAACTCTAAGACAAATTCAATTAAAGTAGGATCTAGTCATTTAAAAAGTATCTATTTCTACATTTTTAATAAATTACTAGACATTTACTATGCAAAACATCATATATGGCTGAGTTAAAGAGAAGTAGTAAATGAGGAAATAAAGCTAAAGTACAGACTATTCTTTTAAAATCTGGCAGTAAAAGGCCAGGCATGGTGGCCCACACCTGTAATCCCAGCACTTTGGGAGGCTGAGGTGGGTGGATCACCTAAGGTCAGCAGTTTGAGACTAGTGTGGCCAACATGGTGAAACCCCATCTCTACTAAAAATACAAAAATTAGCCAGGCATGGTGGCAGGCACCTATAATCCCACCTACTCGGGAGGCTAAGAGAGGAAAATTGCTTGAAGCCGGGAGGCAGAGGTTGCAGTGAGCTGAGATTGCGCCATTGCACTCCAGCCTTGATGAGAAAGTGAGACTCTGTCTCAAAAATAAATAAATAAAAATAAAAATCTGGCAGTAAAAATAAGGGGAACAAGGAAAAAAGAACAATAATAGACAGAACATTTTTAATACTAGGGAAATTAGAGCATGTTTGTAGACAGAAGGAGAACAATCAGAAGACAGGAAGAGAATATAGAAAATAAAATAGAAGCAATAAATGTAAGCAGTGCTATATTTCCTTCCAGCAATTCACAGGCTCATGAGAATCCTAAGACTACTGTACATGAAAAAGAATGAAACAAAACAAAGAGAGGGTCTGGTGCTGAAGCAGCATAAGCAGCTGACTTCTCCAGAAAAAGAGGAAGACAAAAATTACTGTTAGTGGTGAAAGGATAGACTTTCTTGGAGAAAGGACCCTGGAGAGATGACAGGATTGTGAGAGAATCCTCCTGGGGAGAGGGAAGGAGCAGCATGAGAATCTGGACCATGTAAGGACAGTGAGAGGCAGCATCTGTTAGCAAAGAAATTATGCAAATACCCTTCTGAATATTCTCCTTTAGAACTGCACTCTTAAAGAGATATGCTCAATTCTCATTATTCACAGTAATCATGTTCCATAAAGTTCTATATTCATTGCAAACACTGAATTAGCAAATACCGAACCATTGTTCCTACAGGAAAAACAGGGTTAGGTTCCTGTGAGCCTCTGATCACAACACTTTCATAACTGATTAATACATAACCTTGTTTTATGTCTGTTTCTCTTTGAAGGCACCTCATTTAATGTGTGTTGTTGATTCACTAACATTGAATTTGGGGCAAAGCTTATCTAATGCATATATTTTCTCCATAAGGCATGCCATGGCTTTCTTGCATTTAGGAACACTAGATAGCATTTCAGCACTACATTTGGTGAACATTTTAAAAAGGAAATTACCAATAAAAATACGAAAATGCAAAAACTGGCACAAAATAGACTTTGAAAGGGATACTTGCTAATTAGTAGTATGAGAGCTGAAACAAGAAGGCAGAGTGTTGTCTTATTCTACTAGTTAGGAATGTACATGCTAAGCAACTCAAGTTTTTCACTGCTCTGTGCGTGTCCAGGAATGCCTGGGAAAGTACTGTGAGTATATATTTTGGGGTTACTTTTGGGATAAATTTTATTGAGTAGGCAAATTCACAAATACAGAATCCCCAAATAATGAGGATCAACTGTATATGTTTTGTATTAAAGAAGTCTGAAAAATAAAAATATGAACCTATAATGCCACAATGTTTTAAAATATACAAACATGGTAAATTATGGAAACATTGTGTAGATTTCCTACAAATATACCATCAAAATTTCATCTTTATTTCCTCTAGTTCATTCAGAATTTTATAAAATGAACAATTGATATGTATACAACTTATGTACTGGGATGACTGACCTCTGATTATCTGGCAATTGATCTTAAGGTAGCTCCATCTCTCAGCTACTGCCTGCCATAACAGCACACAGACAATCTGACCCGCAAGACAATCCAAACTGCAGATGGTCCATGTTGGAATGAAAGTTTGCAGAGAAGAAAGAAAGCTGAATTTTGCTAGAAGACTGGACTAAGGCTAGACTTGGTGACATATATTGTAAGGCTGATGGGCAACAAATGTTTCAACAGCACTACTTCCAACCCAAACTCAGCTCTTCCTGGCTGAGAGTCACAGATGTGAATAATCTTCAAAACCATTTAAAGACTTCAGTTTGTTTGTTTGAAGGAACTTGCTTTGAATTAAACTTTAATATTCAGTGTAAATCAGGGATGGCAAACTATAACCCTCAAGCCAAATAAGGTGTATTAACTATCTTTGGAAATAAAGTTTTATTGGAAATCAGCCATCCCCATTCATTTACATATTGTCCATGGCTGCTTTTTAGGTACAACAGCAGAGATTAGTAGCTACAACTGAGACCACATGACCCACAAAGCTAAAATATTTATTATCTGGACTTCTGGACAAAAAAGTTTGCTTATCTCAGACATGAACCACATCTCCTGTCAATGTATTTGTTTAACTTGTTTCTTTAATAACAAGTCTGTAAATGAAATGACCCTGACTATTCACAAGTAGGGAGGGGTCTGGTACTGCATTACAATTTTTATAAATTCTCTCTTCCTGTTAAAGGTTGCCTCTGGTGATGAGGGCTTCAAGACTCTATTTCTAATTAGAATTAGATAAGGTCTTCAGAGTAGGGTGCCCATGATAGGACTAGTGGCTTTATAAGAGGAAGAGAGATCTGAGGTAGCGCATTTGCTCTGTGATGCCTGCTAGCATGTTATGACACAGTAAGAGGCCCTCACCAGATTCAGCTCTTCAACTTTGAACTTCCCAGCCTCCAGAACTATAAGAAATAAATTTCATTTCTTCATAAATTACCCGGTCTATGGTATTCTGTTATAGCAACAGAAAACAGATTAAGAGAAACTCCAACCTATTAACCAAAATAGAGAAGTCATACTCGTAACTAGAAGGTATATACTTAAATGTTTATATGCTACTTTCCCCTAATTTCCAGGATCAGAGTATCTTCTCTAAATTAATTCTTCCAAAAATACTAACAAATGCAAGATAATCTGAAAGTTTTTTAAATTTTAGACTACACAATTGTCATTCTTGTATACAAATAAAAACAAATCTCACTTACCTAGAGGACAAGAAAATACAATTATTATTTTTAACCTACAGGTTTAAGTCAAATCAGCATAATGTTCCATAGTTAATATTTACAACAGGCCCTGCCCACAGTTTATAATTCAGCAATGTAATTCATTACATTTCAAAGTAATGAAAAAGAAAAGCTATCTATAAGTTTTCTTCACTAAATAATATAAACTCTACATAAAAATCATATTACTAAGAAAAATAAGTATTAACACAAATAATAATTATCTAAAACCACAGAGATTAAATAAGCATGCTTTTAGACTCTTGGAAGCACGAGAAAAGCTTCTTCATAGCTGGTGATAAATATAAAAGAAAGACACACCATCATTATTTTTGTCTAAACTCTTAAATGCCAACTTCATTTTCTTCTCATGGTCTTTAAGGTACTTCATAAATTCTTCAAAATCCAGCTTCCCATCTTTGTTGACATCTCCAGTAGTAAAAATTTTCTATAAAAAGAACAAAAAACATTAGAAAGAAGTTGTTGCCAATATGGGCTGATGCACTAAATTATTTCTACACATATTTCAAGCAGATTGGCTGTTTTCCTAAAAGACTATAGTACCTATTTTTGGCCAGATGTATCATCATTCATTATGGCAAAGATCTGTAATAAAAGTAGTTGTACTGCTGCAAAAAGATTCCGGGTCTTGTGTTAAATTTTCAATCAGAAAAATGATGCACTGATTTTTATAAAACGTGACATTTTTAAAGCTAATATAACCACACCCTAAATTTCTTGACATGTACTTTATAAACCCCAAGATAGAAGACAAACACTTGACCTACCACAGGATTTAAAATATTGCAGCACTTTGGGAGGCTGATGGGGGAGGATCACTTGAGGTCAGGATTCAAGACCAGACTGGACAACATAGTGAGACCTCATCTCCATAAAAAATTTTTAAAATTAGCCAGATGTGTTGGCACATGCCTATAAATACTAGCTACATGGAGGCTGAGATAGGAGGATCACTTGAGCCCAGGAATTTGAGGTTACAATGAGCTATACTGCACCACTGCATTCTAACCTGGTGACAGAGAAAGACCCTGTCTCTAAAAAAGAAAGAAAGAAGAAAGCCTAAAATGGTGTTTTTCCCTTTGATTTCAAAAATTAAATAATCTTTTACTAAGGATGATCCGTATAAAAAGCTGTCATAGCAAACTGTAAGCCCTCTCCTACCACCACCCAAAATATAACCTATCTACCTATTATGACACTCACAATCACCCACTCAAAGATCACAAATTCTACTGTTCTGATGGTCATACTCTTCCAGGTAAATAATGCCAAGTTAGGCCGGGCTCGGTGGCCGACGCCTGTAATCCCAGCACTTTGGGAGGCTGAGGCGGGCGGATCACCTGAGGTCGGGAGTTCAGGACCAGCCTGACCAACATGGAGAACCCCCCATCTCTACTAAAATACAAAATTAGCTGGGCGTGGTGGTGCATACCTGTAATCCCAGCTACTTGGGAGGGTGAGGCAGAAGAATCGCTTGAACCTGGGAGGTGGAGGTTGCAGTGAGCCGAGATCACACCATTACACTCCAGCCTACGCAACAAGAGTGAAACTCCATCTCAAAAAAATAAATAAATAAATAAAAATAATGCCACATTGTGACTGGATAGTTTAATGGTCATGGTCAGATCTCCAACCTCCAGACTTAGAGAGACAGATCTGAAACTTGTGAGCTGCAACTAAAGCTACACTTAGAGAAAGATTTCTGGTTTAAAATCTTTAGTAATTAATCTTTCATAATTAGAAAAGAAGAAAGACTGGAAATCAGTGACCAATCACTGAGGCTTATCTCAATCTCAGGAAATTATTTAAAAATGAAGCAAAAAAGAAGTTGAAGGAAATAAGGAGCAAAACGTAATGAGAAAGAAAACACGTCATTGGGAAGATTAACAAAGCCAAAAGACAGTTCTTTGAAAAGACTCTTAAAATTGATAAACTCCTAAAACTGGCCAATAACTAATGTCAGAAAGTAAAGATGGAAACTACTAGACACTATAGACATTAATGGCCACTATAGACAAAACTGGCCAATAACTAATGTCAGAAAGTAAAGATGGAAACTACTAGACACTATAGACATTAATGATATTATGAACAGCTTTATATCAAAAATGTGAATGTGAGATAACAAACGCCTATAAAAACTTATTAAAAACTGACAGAAGACAGCAGAAATTCTGTGTAGCCCTATACTCAGATTTTAAAGAAATGTAAAGTGTAATTTGTAAACATTCCCATGAAGAAAAATCGAGGCCCACATGGTTTTAACAATAATGTCTACCAAACTTTAAGGAAAAAAAAAACACCAATTTTCCAGAGAATTGAAAGGGTAGGAACATTTGCCAACCCATTTTATGAGGTGGGTATACACTTGATTCTAAAACCTAACAGGGACATCACACAAAAAAAAGGAAAATTACAAGCAATGTCAACTAGTGAAAAAGATGCAAAACTCCCACAAAAAATATTAGCAAATCAAATCTAATAATACACAAAATGGATGACATTATATATATATATGTACATATATATTCATGCACTGTATACATATCAGTCAATGACAGACCTCATATATTACAGTGGTTTAGTAAGATTATAGTACCATATTTTCACCATGGAATACTACACAGCCATAAAAAATAATAAAACCATGTCCTCTACAGCAACATGGCTGCAGCTGATGGCCATTATCCTAAGCGAATTAATGCAGAAATAGAAAACCAAAAACCACATGTTCTTACATATACATGTGAGCAAAACATGGGGTGCACAGGGATATAAAGATGGAAACAACAGAAACTGGGGACTACGAGAATGGGGAGGGAATGGAAAAGGGTTGAAAAATTATCGATTGGGTACTATGCTCACTACCTGAGTGACAGGGTTCAATTGTACCCCAAACCTCAGTATCACGCAATATACCCTTGTAACAAATGTACACATACCCCCTGAATCTCAACTAAAAGTTGAACAAATTACCATATTTTTACTGTATCTTTTCTATGTTTGGATACACAAATACTAGTGTGTTATAACTGCCTACAGTATTCAGTACAGTAACCTGCTACAATCCAAGAGAAAATGTCACAGCATTCTGTGGCGCCATTTATGTACTGAAGTTTCCTGTAAGAGGTTTATATTTTGGCCAATGGAAACATCAGTGAACAAGAATAGTCACTGACCAAAAGGGGCTTGCTGCCCAATGAACTAGAAGTCAATACTATAACACCAGGTTTTGAGAAAAGAAAAGCTTCTTATTGCAAGATGACCCACAAGAAGACAGGAGTCCAGCTCAAATCTGTCTCCTTGTGCTGGCTTTAAGGTAGTCATTTTATTAGAAAAGGTTTGGGGGCAGATTCTGGATTAGTGGGTGATTGGTGGAAGGAAAGGGGGAGGTCTCCCAAGACCTTAGGCATGCATAGTTATCTCTTCATGCTAGCTCACGGATTGTGTGTGAAAATCTGGGGGGAGTTAGTATAAAATACATGGTGGAAATTTGGGCTGTAACATCAGCAAGTTCGTTCTGTGCAGACTTGAGTTGACCATATTCATTCCAACCAGTTTTAACTAGTTTTGTGTTATAAGTGGAGAGATTTACACTGTTTCAGCAAGTTGCTTATTTTTTAATCTGTCATCCTGAAAACAAGATTTTCTCTTAGTCATTGGTTCCTTTCACTCTTTGGGACCGCAGTTTTCACTACCATTTTGGAAGTAACAAGCTAAAGGTCAGTTTTGTTTTTGGTTTTTTTTTTCAAAAAAACTTCGAACAGTTTTTTTTTTTTTTAAACCCATATTTCTGCAGCATTTCTTGTGGTAAATCAAGAGTTATGATTGTCTAATGAGTGTGACTTATCGATACAATAGTCCTCCCTTATCCACAGTTTCACTTTCTACAGTTTCAGTTACCTGCGGTCAATCATGGTCTGAACTATTAAATGGAAAACTCCAGAAACAAACAACTCATAAGTTTTAAATTGCACAGCATTCTGAGTAGCATGATGAAATCGCTCAACATTCTGTGCCATCCAGCCCAGAAGGTGAATGTCCTTTCATCCAGCATATCCACACTATAGATGCTACTTGCCTGTTAGTCACTTAGTAGCCATACCAGTTATCAGATCAAAAATATATAGTCTATGGCCAGGCGCGGTGGCCCACCAGCACTTTCGGAGGCCAAGGTGGGCGGATCACTTGAGGTCAGAAGTTCGAGACTAGTCTGCCCAACTTGGTGAAATCCCATTTCTACTAAAATTTAAAAAAATTAGCCAGGCATGGTGGCATATGCCTGCAGTCCCAGATACTCTGGAGGTTGAGGCACAAGAACTGCTTGAACCCAGTAGACAGAGGTTGCAGTGAGCCGAGATTGCACCCCTGCACTCCAGCCTGGGCAACAGAGTGAGACTCCATCTCAAAAAAAAAAAAAAAAAAAAGAGCTAAAGCTAATTAAAGATAAAGTAAAAAAAAAATACTAAAATATACATATATGTGTGTGTGTATATATATATAAGGTATATATAGGATTCAATATTACCCCCCAGTTTCAGGTATTCAGTGGGGATCTTGGAAAATATGCTCCCCTGCAGATAAAAGGGGACTACTATAACATGAAAGACTAGGAATTGATTCCCCTTTAAATTTTCCTGTATGTTCCTTGTAGAAATAAAAGACCAATCAAATGAGAAAAGCAAAATCTACCTGGCCCAAGCTTGCTATAGCAAGGCAGTCACACACTCTCACTTGCGTATTGAGAGAGACTCAAAGGCAGGAAGAGGAGTGGGAAAACTTTACAGTGGGAAAAAGGGAAGGCTTCAGGCATTTCCTGACTGGGGGCTGCTGGCCCAGGGAAGCTGTAAGTGGGCTCAGTAGAAACAGGGCATCCTATTTGATTAGTAGGTGGTGCATATTTAACTTTCTCTGGTTTGTCCTAAGTTGGAAGTGAAGAAAAAAATTAGAGGGGCTGTCAGTTATTAATCAAATTCTGACCATTTGGGGCTGTTACAGCAGTTATTGCATAGCTTTGTGTATTGTCTCTAGAGATAGTAACCTGACTTCCTATAAGTCTGACATAATAGGCTGGTTTCCTGGTCTGTTTATTTTAGATAAAGGGCTGGTTTTCTGGGCAGACTGCTGTAAATTTTGAGTCAAAGTTCTATTTTTATTTATGGTCTGACCATTATCTCTTCATATACTTAGTTTCTCAACTTTCACAGGAAAAAACAAAACAATCTATTGTTCAAAAAACAGACCATTTTCACAACAAAAAGTTATTGCTTTTGTATCTTAATACGACGATGTAAGTACCATTTCTTTTTTTTTTTTTAATCAGTTGAGTTTTGTCTATATAAACAAATTTTCCTACTAGGGGAGGTAGAGACGTGTGGGAAGAGACCTCATATCAAAACTTCCTAGTGATGTGACTGTCACCTGAGGAGAAGTCACAACGGTGCTCTTCTGAAACAGAATGTTCTGTGTGGTTGGTGCAGAATTCTCTGGGGATACCCCTCCCTTGGGTTTTGACATGTGAACCCTCGTCAGTCACCACTAGGTACACAAAGCCTCCTTGCCAAAAATGCAAGACAGATCTGCAAACCTTTTGTTTCAATAAGGAAGAAATGTGTTTCAAAAGATTCGACTTGATGGCCTAACCCATAATTTCTTATGAAAGGCTAGTTTGTATCAAATAAATGAACACAAGTCACACTTGCAAATCTAAATATGAGTGTCTTTAAACAAATATGAAGAACACTTAACTTTTTTCTTTTCTTTTTTTTGAGATGGAGTCACTCTGTCGCCCAGGCTGGAATGCAGTGACGCAATCTTAGCTTGCTGCAACCTCTGCCTCCCAGGCTCAAGTGATTCTCCTGCCTCAGCCTCCTGGGACTACACACACCCACCACCACACCTGGCTAATTTTTATATTTTTAGTAGAGATCAGGTTTTACCATATTGGCCAACCAGGTCTTGAACTCCTGGCCCCAAGTGATCCACCTGCCTTGGCCTCCCAAAGTGCTGGGATTACAGGCATGAGCCACTGCACCCGAACAAGAACACTTAACTTTAAAAGGAGAAACGCTTTTTTTTCTAGAAATTAAAAATCCAGATAAGCTTTGCAGAAATAACATTTTGGACTGAATTGGTCCACAGAAAGTACACAGTCCAGGCCTCTGATATAACAGATGAGGATACCAGTGTACAGGGCTTGGAATATAGAATGTGCTCAAACTAGAACTGACCCATGACTGAATGGAGCTTCAATATTCCCAAAGTTCATGTGGCTAATAGAAAGAGTTTTACTAAATTTTAACATGTCAACTGACAGCTTTTTGGGCACAAAGTACCAATTAACCAAAATAAATTCAATAGGCCGCATGCCCATGGATCTCCCAGTCTACTGGGTCAAACATCCAAAGAGCAAATATACTTATAAAGTAATTATTATATACAACAATGAATTCCAAATGGAAAATGACTTGGAAATACTGCAATAGGAGTATCTACGAGGCATTGCTGAGAAGGAGCCTGTAGGTTAGCCTGCTGGGAAAGAGAAGGGTTAGCCTAAGCTCAGTACTGATAACTAGGGTCTATTATTAAGACATATTATGAGGAAACCTCAGCACTAGTGAAACCCAAGAGTACAAGCCACTTATACTGCCACCCTTCCAGGAACAGAAATCAAAACATAACATCAGAAAATTTCCAATCACCACCCCACTCCCAAATACATGTAGAGTGATTATCCCAGTTCTCTGAACTGGGGAGGGCGCATCTTTGGCCTAGACGCCCCTCTGGGTGACTGACAGGTGAGCGCATTGAACAAGGTGACTCTTAAGACAAGGCTGTATGTAGCCAACATCTTGACAGCAATCTGAAGTTGGAGATTTTACTACAGCCAGGGAGAAAACGGAGAAAAATACTTGAGAAATGTGTTAGCTGTGTTGTGTTATTCTTAGTAAACAGTTAACGTTGGTCAACCACCTGAACACTGCAGTGGGCCCAGGTCAAGCATGAGAACATGTAAATTTTGCTCTCTCTGCCCAGTGCCTCTCCAGGGCTCCCAGCCCCAACGTCTCTCTGATTAACAGCGCCAGTGAGACCCACCTTCGCTTCCTCTAGAGACTGAATGACCCCTATATCCTCCAGGCCTTCCTGAAGCTCAGAAATGTCCAAGGCCCCATCCTCATTATAGTCCAGGTACCAAAAGAGATCTCCGTAGAGGGAGTCCATCGAGGATGTCTCCCTCGTAGCTCCGAGGCCGGAGTGAGCCCCAGCGGGGTGGAAGTGCGACGGACCAAGGGGGATCTCTGCCCACCACACGGCCAGTGGGAAGAGGCCTAAGACAGCATCCTCCTCAGGGGCGCCAAACACAAAGCACCTTCATCAGTTAAAGCGGTGGAAGGAGAGGGCTCATCCTAACGGCTCCAGCGCAAAGGCGCGAGCGCGCAGGGCCCGGGACCGGGACCTCGGTGGGACCGCACTTGGGGCTTCGCTGAGAGACCGCGGAGTTCCTGCCGCACTCACGTCTGATCAGAAGCGCGGGCTCCCACTCCAGGAAAAGTCCAGTTGGGGCAACTCACACCCCTTTCCCCAGAACCTTCCAGGGAGAACCCAGCACAGGGCCATCTAAAACTAGATCTAAAAACTTTAGGGCCATCTAAAAACTTCTTTTTGGAGAGTAGGTCGGGAATGTTGGGACATGGGCTATTGTAGCATAAGTGATTGGCGGTGGGGGCCTGCCAACATTAAAAAAAAATTGTTTTGCTGCACTTGTCTAGGAATCCTTCTTTTTAAAAATCTTTATAATGATTTTTTAAAATAAAATAATTTTATTGTAGATTCAGGGGTCACACCATCAGCTTGCTACAAGGGTATACTGTGTGATACTGGGGTTTGAGGTCCTAATGGTTCCATCACCCAGATTGTGAACAAAGTACGCAGTAGGAAGTTTTTCCAGCCCTTGCCCTCCTCCCTCCCTCCCTCCTTTTGGAGTCCCTGGTGTCTATTATTCCCATGTTTATGCCCCATTTACCCAAGGTTTAGCTCCCCTCCTATAAGTGAGAACACAGTATTTTTCTGTTAGTACCTTAATTCATTTAAGTTATTGGCTTCCAGCTGCATTCATGTTGCTGTAAAGGACATGATTTTGTTCTTTCTTATGGCTGCATAGTATTCCATGGTGTGTATGTACCACATTTTCTTTATCCAATCTGCTGCTGATGGGTACCTACACTGTGTTGTAGGAATCGTTTTCTAAGGTTGCAGCACTGGAGAATTGCTGTAATAAAGACTAAGAATTGAATGAAAATCTGCCCACATGGGCTGTTTCTTCTGTGACACCTCCCCTCACAGTTTTTTATCTTTTATCTTCATCTAACCACTACAATGGCTCCAGGGCAAGCCTATCCTTCAGCTGTTAGTGGCTGGATTGTAAAGATGATCTCAAAATAGGCAAAAGTTCAGTGATCTTGAGTCCCAGAGAGAAGTTAGGAGATACTCATAAACACTACCCAGGGCTTCCTCTTAATCCTCACCCTCTGGAACCACAGAGGGCCCTGGTTTCCCCAGACAAACACCTGTGGTCCCTCATCCTGCACCACAGGGAATGTGGAGGTGCAGTTTCACAATAAAAACTCTCTACTTTTTATGTAATTTATTTTCCTAAATATGGAGATTGGGTACCCTAAAAAGTTGAATATTAAAATTCAAAAAGAAAATTAATTTAGCCATTATCTGTTAGCTCTTGCTCTACACCACCCATCATGTCAGATACTGGGGACATAAATGGACCATCATATGTCCCTGAAATACTCGTAAGTTTCCCCTGGGAGGAGGTTGCACCATGGTTAGTCAAAAAAACCACTGTATGCTTCTCAATCAACATTTTCCCCCAGAGCTGTTGAGCAGTGGCAAATGTCTAATGCTGTTTCACAAGATGTGCTGTGGCCCAATCAAGAATGAATTCTTTCAAAAAGAGAATTTTATGGTCCACAGGGAATCGTCCTTCCCTGTGCATCACAGAGAATGTAGGTAGTGGCAAAGAGCCACAGAAGGCAGATAGCCAGGCAGAGAATGAGCCTTGGGTTAGAGTTTACAAGACCAAGCAGAAAAGACAGAAATCATGGCCAGGGTGATAAGGAACACAGACTGACGGCATTTAACAGAACTGACAGGAAAGAGCAAACCATAGAGTTGAGAGTTTCATCTAATAAAAGGCAGGTATTTTTGTTGAATAGCTCTTTCCACTTTTTGAAATTACCCTGTTCATTATTTGCTTATTATTTTTTATTCCCCAAGCACCTATGCAACACACGCAGATCTATTTACTATAGGGAGGGTGTTGAGAATACAATGAAGAAGGCTGTCGGTATTTACGATAGGGAGGGTGTCGGGAATACAATGAAGAACACCGTAGGTCTTGTTTACCACTATATCACCAGTTCATTAAACATGTCTGGCACTGTTCGAAAATATTAAATGAATGAATTTACTATTTATGCTGTTACTGGGTAGTTCTTACCAGTAGTTCTTACCATTTGTAAGAATGGTAGTTCTTACCATTTGTAGTTAACATTTGAGGCCTCCAGGCATTAAATAACATGCCTAAGGCCACAGTCTAGCAAGTGGTGAAAATATTTGAACCCTGTTGTTTCCACAGCCTGTAATAATAACCATTATATCCACTAAACCAGTTCATGTGTAGTAAACACTACGATCCACATTTCAGGGTTAGGCTTCAAACTTTCTCCAACAAATCCTTTTGTTTTCATAAATTCTGTCAAATATAGATAACTTGGTGGGCTCCATTTGATCCTTAAAAAGATAAGATTTTTGAACTCGGCATGGTCAAAATAAGCAGTGTATTACAGAATGTTGTCTTGTGCAAGCTTCTTTCTAAATGTTTTTTCCAGAATACCGATAAAGAAAGTGGGCTAGGAAAATTATAAAGTTTAGCTGCGCCCTTAAACAATGGGAATCATATACCAGGCAGAGAAGGGGGAATGAAAGAAATCTCAGGCAGAGAGAAGAAAATAAAGGGATCAATGTACACAGTTGTGGTCTAGTCAGGGAATATGGCATGTTGAGAGTTTGGAAAGGTGACTGAAAAGGCTTAGAATGCTACAAAGATTGAAAGGGTATTTTATGCCTTACTAAAGAATTCTTCCAGTTTTTTCATTCTTTCAGACACTTTATTTCTGCAGAGAAGGGTAACATCAAATTTGGAATATAAATCAGGAGAAAACACAAAAGATACAGATTTTATATATTTTAGAACATTTGATAGAAATGTAGTTGGAATTTCATTGTTTTTCTTATACCATAATCTTTCTGTTGTGATGCCCTAAAATTCACCCTATCATTTCTGTATCATGTCTCCTTAATATTGTGCCAGAAACCATAAAGTGTCTGACAATTAAAATATTAAGTAAATGGGCCAGCCATGGTGGCTCATGCCTGTAATCTCAGCACTTTCAGAGGCAGAGGCAGGCAGATCACTAGAGGCCACGAATTCAAGACCAGCCTGGCCAATATGGCAAAACCCCATCTCTACTAGAAAACACAAAAATTAACCAGGTGTGGTGGCATGTGCCTGTAATCTCAGCTGCTTGGGAGGCTGAGGCACAAGAATCGCTTGAATCCAGGAAGCAGAGGCTGCAGTGAGCCGAGACCGCACCACTGTACTCCAGCCTGGCTGATAGAGTGAGATTCTGTCTCCAGAAAAAAAAAAAAAAAAAAAGCAGTATTAATGAAATAAAAATGGAATGAACTCTCCTTATTAACAGAGGAATTACTTAATGGAGTGAATCCTGATTCCATTCAATGCAATAAACATTTGCTAAGCTACTATTCTTCTATGTGACTACTTTTTCTGTGATTGTAAATGTAAAAATTTAAAGACAGAATAAAAAAAAAATCATAGAATGTAAGAGTTAGAAGGGCCCTTAAATCAGGTTACCAGTCCACCCACTCCTCTAACACTGGGTGATCATTCGGCATACACTTCATACCCACGGGCACAGAGGGTCCTCAAGAAGTTTACCAGCTAGTAAATGGGACGCCACATTTTAAAGGGTTTTTTAACATGAAATTTCATATTCAGCCACATATGACCTTGTTAAAAGCTCTGTTCAGGACGCAGGCAAGATATCTGCATTTTAAGAATAAGAAAGTAAAGCTCCAGTAAGGCTCAAACTTGACAAGGGTTACACAGTCAATTCATACCAAGGATGGAACCTTTTGTAGCTTGCTGCTTCCCTTCTTGTTCTTGGCAATTGTCCTAGTCCATCTGGGCTGCTATGACAAAAATACTATTGGCTTACTTAAACAATAAGCATTGATTTCTTGCAGTTCCAGACACTGGAAGTCCTCGATCAAGGTGCTAGGAGATTTAGTGTCTAGTGAGGACCCACTTTCTGGTTCCATGGACCACTGTTTTCTCAGTGTCCTCACACGGTAGAAGGGGCAAGGAAGCTCTTCTGGGTCACTTTTATACAGGCACTAATCCCATTCTTGAGGGCTCCACAAAAAGAAAGAAGATGGGGGTAGAAGGAGGAAGAGAAGAGGGAGAAGGAGGTGCATAAAGAGAAGAAAATAACTGAAGATTTTTAAAAGGAAATAGGATTACTAGACAAGTATGAGAAAATTAGTAATGTTAAATACTGTATCTTCTTGTTCTCATACTACATTCTACTCTCAGTCTATACCCTTATACTACTGAGTCGTAGGAGAACTTAATGTGAATTTTCTCTAATTTTTAACTTTAATTTTTTACTAATTTCATAATGAGATTTGGAACATATAGAAAAGAAAGGTCGTATCAGAAAAAAAAAAGTACGCTTTCACTTCTAATTGGTTCTTAATTTTGTCTCAGGACTTGCCTTGAATTCTTTTCTCTTCCCTGGATAATTCTGGAACATTTAGTAATGGTTAGCTATTATAGTCCTTATGCCTATTTCTACATTCTACTCTTATTTCTATATTCTTTCCATCTAAAATCTAAAGAAACTTAAACAGAAATTTGTTCTCTTCTAAATGCTCAATTCATTACAAATGCTTGGAAACACAGAGATGAGATCAAATCAGATGAAAGTTTATAGAGATTTCGCTTCAAGCTGAGTTTTGGTTTCAATACAAACTACTATCTTGAAACTTTCCACTGAAGAGACATCCCACAGTTCTCATTTCTATGCCCAAGTGGCCAATCTCCTCACTCCTTGACATTACACAAACCCCTGACACACCTCTGAAATTTCCCCCCATAAATGTAATCCTAATTCTATCCCACGTGTGATGGTTAATTTTATGTATCAACTTGTCTGGACTAAGGGATGCCCAGATAGCTGGTAAAACATGATTTCTGAGTGTGTCTGTGAGGATGTCTCTGGAGGAGGGTAGCATTTGAATCAGTAAACCAATTAAAGAAGACTGCCCTCACCAAATGGGTAGGCATAATGCAATCCTGTGGAGGGTGTGAATAGAACAAAAAGGCAAAGCAAGTACTATGTTTTGCCTGTCCCCACAAAAACTCACGTTGAAGTCTTATCCCTGATGTGGCCGTGTTGGGAGGAGGGACCTAGCAGGAGGTGTCAGGGTCACAGAGGCAGATCCCTCATGAATGGCTTGGTGCCATTCTTGCAGTAGTGAGTGAGTTCTCTCTCTCATGAGACTGAATTAGTTCCCTCAGGAATGGATCAGTTCCCTCGAGGCTGGGTTGTTATAAAGCCAGAACAACCCTCAGATTTTGCTTCTTCACATATGTCCACTTCCAATTGACTTTCCACCATGTTGTGATACAGCAGAAAAGCCCTCACCAGAAGCCCAGCAGATGCCAGCACCACACTTCTTAAACTTCCCAGCCTGCAGAACTGTGAGCTAAATAAATGTCTTTTCTTTATAAATTACCCAGTCTCAGGTATTCCATTATAGCAACACTAAATGGACTAAGACAGGAAGTGAAAAAGGAATTCCACCTGCAGAATAGGAGACTTTATAAAGACTGATACCCTGAATGAATGAGGATGTGGAGAAGCAAGCACTGTCAGTCAAAAAAGAATGAAAATGGGTCCAAGGTTTCCGAAAGGCAATATGTATCCCAATTTAAAATGCGTGTTACCTTCAGACTCAGCAATGTCCACTTCTCAAAATTTATCCTATGAAAGTAACTGGACCAGAATGAGAAAAGGAATACAAAGGATATTCATTGCAATTTCACTTACATCGTTTTTAAACTATCAGTAAGCTACATGGTGGTTTAAAAAGAATTGGTAACATATACTACGATACAAACATATAACAGAATATGATGCAGTTATATAAAAAAGATGGTACAGCAGCGATTCTCAAGCTTTTTGAACTCAGGATCCCTTTACAATCTTAAAAATCACTGAGGACTCCAAAGAGCTTTTGTATATTGTAGGGACTATGGAGTTGTACCACTGAGATCTCCCTTCAAAGGCGCCTACTGTAAGGAACACAGTCGACTTCCACCCTCTAGCCTCTAGCCCTGGCATCTGCTGATGCACTGCAGCAAGGCCATCTCTTTCCTGGGCTGCTTCCAGCCAACGACTGGATATGGTGGGGAACTCCAACAGGGCCATTTCTGGGACAATCAGCAAAAAGTACCAAAAGTTGATTCTTTCAAAATATGAATAAAATACACAAAACTTTGGCAAGATTGAAGGGGAGAAAAGGATAGATATGAGGAATGAAATAGAGAACCTACCTACAGATATAGTCAGAAGTTTTATAAAATCATCAGCGAGTATTATGAACCTTGGATAGAATGGGCAGTTTCAAAAAAGAAAATTGTAACTTACGAAATCTGACTGTAGAAGAAACAGTAAACTGAAGAGGCCTGTAACTACCAAAGACATTAAAAGAGAAGTTAAATATAACAGTATAACAGTTGTAGGCCCTCACAGTAACCTAATCACTTTCCCTCTTTGGATAGAGAATGCCAGTGTCAGGGAACGCTTCAACAGAGTTGGAGAAGTTCCACATATCTCCACCCTACTAAAGGGGCAGAAGTTCAGGGGCACAGTTAAGATGACTCAGAGAAAACGAAATTGCTCAGCCGCAGGTTAACCCATCAGATCAATTTCTGTACCTAGGGCACTAACCTAGAAATGTCTTAAACAATGGAATGTCGCCATTCCTTCTCAACAGGAAGTGGGGGAAACATGCGATTCTTTTTCAAACAGTTTTGAAACAGTAGACAACACATAGAGCTGGTGTAACAAAGCAGCTTCGAAGAGATCGAATGTGTGCGCCTTTTTACAGAACTTGGGACACACTTAATTCTGACGGCTAAAAATGATTACATGTTTGCAAGGTATTAAAACAAAACAAAACAAAAAAACAGACAAAGAACCTGGGATAGATTCAGGACAAAAGGGTCTTAAAAATTTAACAGTGCCCGTGGGCCACAGTGTCCACAACACTCATTTTATCTGGACAAATACCAGTAGCCTTTTGTATTATGACCCACTTCTGTTACCGGAGTCGCCGGTCGCGGCCCCATGCCCGAGTTTCTGAAGCCACCGGAGCGCTGGGCGCCACAGTTCCTCCTTCCTCCTGGCAACGCCTCGGGCCGCCGCCCTCCTCGGTCCTCGCAGCGTCCCCAGCGCCCGCAGCCCTCCCTGCGCTCAGGCGGCGCCCCGGCGGCGACCCACCTCCTCGGCGTCCTGGCCCAGGGGGATGCCCAGGTTCCTGAGACCCTCCTGCAGCTCGCCGATGTCCACCACTCCGTCCCCATTGCGGTCCAGCGCCTGGAAGAGAGTCTCGTAGCGCGTCGGTGGCTCCGCTTCCTGGCAGGCCACGGTGGGCAGCACGAAGCCCCGCAGCCAGCGCAACATGGTCCCAGAGGCGCGGGCGGCCTGGCCGAGGAAGTCACGGGAGATCGAGGGCTCCGGGGCGCGACTGGGACCAGCGCGAGGCCAGGCTGGGCGGGACGTGCGGCTCAACAGCGTTTGGGGCGCCGTCCGGTGTGCGCCTGCAGCGCGCAGGGCGCAGGAGCGGGGACCTCACCCGAGCCCGCGCGACGCGCAGGGTGTGGCCGTCCCGCCGCTGCTGAGGAGGAGCTCGCCGCGCTGGCCTCCGCGGCACTGGCCGGGCCCGCCTCCGGAGGGCAGGAAGTGAGGGAGCTGCGAGGTGGATCTCGGGAGGGGCTGTGCGGGCCCGGGGTCGATCTCCGCCCAGTTGCCAGTCTCGCCGTCAGTAGTGCGGGTCCGAGGAGGAGGACCCAGAAGGTCTAGGGTTGCAGCGTCAGCGCGTCAGTGGTTTGGGAGCCGGGTCTTGAAGACCGGTTACTCCACCTAAAGACCCCCTCGGGCCAGAGCCTAGGCAGTCCGCCCAGAGCCGCTTCTCTCTGCCTGGAAAGTGGGCCATGGAGGGCATTGTCTCTCATGGATGTCTAACTTTTTCGTGGTTGCGCACCTGGGATGGCGATTCTGCTTTAAAAAGCGGAGAGTTAAATCCGAAAGC